GTCCTCCGAGAGCGACTCCTTGCCGACGAGCTGCACGATTTCCTGCAAATTGTCTTCCTTCTGGAGAATCTCCTGGCACTTGGTGCGCAAGTTGGAGTAGTCGGGGTCGAGCTTGTTGAAGAAGGGCTCGAGCACGCGCATGTACTTGGTGTACGAGATGAGCCAGTTGACCGACGGAAAGTGCTTGCGCTGCGCGAGCTTCTTGTCGAGGCCCCAGAACACCTGCACGATCGAGAGCGTCGCGGCCGTGACCGGGTCTGAGAAATCACCACCCGGCGGCGACACGGCACCGACGACCGTCACACTGCCCTCGCGCTTGGGCGATCCAAGGCACGAGACGCGACCGGCGCGCTCGTAGAACGCCGCCAAACGCGCACCAAGGTACGCCGGGTACCCCGAATCGGCAGGCATCTCCCCGAGACGGCCCGAGATTTCGCGCAACGCTTCGGCCCAGCGCGACGTCGAGTCGGCCATCATACTGACGTTCATACCTAAGAAGTGAGAATGTCGCGTGAGTGAGGTAGAAGAATCGAGGACCATGGACGTACCCTGATCGCGGAAGTACTCGGCGAGCGTGATACCCGTGTAGATACTGGCTTCACGGGCCGCGACGGGCATGTTGGACGTGTTGGCAACAAGCGTCGTGCGCTTCATGATGGGCACCTCCTGGTTGTTGACCGTCATCGTGAGCTCCGGGAAGTCGCAAAGCACTTCGGCCATTTCGTTGCCGCGCTCGCCGCAACCGACGTACACAATCATGTCCGAGTTCGAGTGCTTCGAGAGCGCCTGCGAAATGACCGTCTTGCCGCAGCCAAAGGCGCCGGGCACGGCGCACGTGCCACCGAGCACGGACGGGAAGAGCGCGTCGATAATGCGCTGGCCCGTTTGGAGGGCGACGTTGCCGGCGAGCTTCTCGGCGACCGGGCGCGGCTTGCGCACGGGCCAAAAGTGCGAGAGACCGAGCTCGTGCGTCTTGCCCGTCGTGTCGTCGCGGACCTCGAGAACCGTGTCCTGGAGCGTAAACGACTCGTTGCCGTCCGTGCCGGCGCCGTAGACCTTGACGACCGTACCAAAGACGTTGGGCGGGCACATGATCTTGTGCGAGTGCAAGATGTCGTTCTCGTGCACGTGGCCAAAGACGTCGCCGCCCGAGATCGGGTCGCCCTCGCGGAAGTTGAGCGGCGTGAAGCGCCACTGCTTGGTGGCGTTGAGTGACGGCACGTCGACACCGCGCGGGACATACACGTCCTGGCTGAGCTTCGCGATCGACTCGAGAGGGCGCTGGATGCCATCGAAGATGTTGTCGACGATGCCAGGGCCGAGCTCGACCGAGAGCGGCTGGCGACGGCGCTCGACGGGATCGCCGACCGTCAGACCCGCTAGTGCATTTGTGGTCAGCGCGATATGGCGCGTCCAAGTACGTACAGGTATCTTCGTAGACCTGGATCGACGCGTTCGTGCCCTCGAGCTTGATGATTTCGCCCACGAGCTTGTCATGGCCGACGCGCACGAGCTCGTACATGGCCGCGCCGTGCATGTTCTCGGCGATGACCACTACAGAGGCAGGAGGATGAGCCATCGGCGCCGGCGGATGGAGGCAGCGTACGCGGGCCGGACACCTTGTAGACGTAGCCGTAGTCGGACTCCTTCTCTTGATCGCCAAAGACCACCGACATGATGTTGCGCGCTGTGGGGCAAATACAAAACAAGGACCGAGACCGCACAAAAATTTAAACTTGGCCAATGTATAGATCACCCAGCGAAGTGGCAGTCAATTGTGCCCCGGGGTCTAACCGCTAAAAACACGCCACTTGGCGCTGTGCGTCGTGGAAAGCACCTGGCATGCACCGCCGACGCTGCAGACACGAGGTGTTCTAGCTCGTACAGCAAGTATCTGGTTCATGGCCAACGCGCCACTGCTCGTCGAGCCGCATTTAGTGTTTTAGTCAATCGAGGTGTGAGTCGAGCTTGGAGTAGCTTCAATAGTAGCATCCAGTGTCGATCGCTCGTCGTCCAAGCATGCCACCTCGTCCGTGGCACGACGCTCACACTACTCGTACGCTTTCTGCGGTGCAAACACGAGTGGCGTGACCTGAGCTCCACCTCGTGCCGATGGCGTGATCATTGCCGCCTGCATGGCGATCAACTTTGCACAGCACTGTAGTATCGCTAGCCGTAGCAGCCTGCAGCGACGCAGCAAGCACACTCGTGAGTTCATCTTGGCCTCGCGTGGCTTGCTCGCATCCGACCTAGTCGCTGCTTGTCGCAGTCGATGGACGATGCGACCAAGGTTGCGGTTCACGTGCCCCGGTGCACAGAAAGGGTTGAAGTGAATCGTCCGGCAGCGGCGCTCGGGATTGGTCAAAACTCGGGCCAAAGATCCGTGGAGGCACGACCGATGGCGGCGCCAGCGATGTGACGTTGAACGCGTCAGTGGCCGGTGCTCGCCGGTCCATCAATGAAGATGCATCATGTAGTACTCGCTCTACAGAGCGAAGCCACGGCCCGTAGAGACAACGTGGACAGTCGATGAGCCATCGTAGCTCTCTTCCAGCGCAGAGTCGACCTCTCACGCGCTTGGTTGTCCGTGGCCATTGGGTCGTATGCGTAGTCTTGATTCACGTAGAAGCGTTGACCAAATCCCGTCTTGGTGCACGGTGCAGGAAGAAGACAGCTTACGTGCCCACGATCTTGGTGGCATCCGGATAGAGTCACATTGAGCCGGCACCTCGAACTCTGGCTCGTTCCATGCGCCAACGAGCACGCTCGACATGCTCGCAGCCGGCGACTGCAACGCGTCGCTGCCTTGGCGCTCGGTACTGCGTATGGGCTGAAGCGACCAACTGTATGAGCCTCACGTTTCATGCCACTGCCGGCAGTCGGCTCGAGACGTATTGTTGGGCGTTATCCTGGTGTAAGATGGTATTCAAAGGTCTCCTCGCTGTATTACTATAAGTAGTGTGCTGTGTCTACGCAGAGCTCGACTCGGTCGGCGCCGGGCCTTGCTCGCTCCACGCCATCGTTAGCGGTGTGTTCAAGTACGTCTGTCCAAACTTCATGGCCTGCAATCAGATTTGAACATGAGTCGCCTCGTCGTCATTGCATGCAATCGCGTTACCTTTTCACCGGCAAAGCGCTCCTGGAACTGCACAAACGCCGTCTCGCCCTCAACGACCACGGCTTCGATCGCGCCGTACGGGCTAAAGTGCTGCTCGAGCACGCTCTTGTCGCGCGCGGCTTCGGGCAGCGTCGTAAGGTGTACCCAGCGCGTCCGGTTGTCGATCACGCGCTTCTTCCACTGCGGCTTGGTGCTGAGCGACTTTTCTTGCTGCTCAAGCGCCTGGAGCTCCTGCTGGAGCCGTTGGAGAGGCGGGTTCCGCAGGTTTGCGAGTTGCGCCTTGAGGTCAGCGATCTTGGCGTCCATCTTGGCGCGCTCGGAATCCGGCAGCATGTTTTTGGCCGCGAGCGTCGACACGAGGAGCTCGTACTGCGTGAGCTGGTTCTGGATGAGCGTTTCGCGCTGGGCCTGGAGCGCCTTGTCCTGCTCCAAGAGCTGGCGCTTCTCTTCGAGGACCTTCTTGCCCTGCTCGAGGACCTCTTGCCGCCGCGCCTCGGGGTCGGCGTTCTCGGGCGGGATGTCGCCGAGGTCCTTGGGCGCGTGCTTGGCGAAATGCACGTGGATGAACCGGTTGTTGCAGACGGGCACGGGCGAGTGGAACGCGCGCTTGGCCATTTCGGGCGTCGCAAACTGCACAAAGGCGCACCGAAACTGCGGGCGCATCTGGACGTTGACCACGTTGCCAAACTTGCCAAAGTGGGCGCAGAGCTTCGTGACGTTGATGTACTTGGGGTCGACGTTGTCGACGCGGAGCGTCGCGGCTTCGTGGTCAGGCTTCTCCTTGCCACTGTTGTCCTTGCGGCGGCCGTTGTTGTTGAACTGGTTATTTTGATCGCCGTGGAAGCCGTCGTACTCCATCGGATGGGGCGGGTAGCCCATTTGTTGGCGCGGCGGGTACATGCCCCACGGCTGCTGCGGCGCCATGTGCGGCGGCATGTTGTTCCAGTTGTCGAAGCGACGCCCACGCGGCGGCATGGGCCCGCCACGACCGCCGGGAGGTCCCATCATATCGCGGTGGCCGTCGTGCGGCGGCTCGTAGCGCCCGCCGTACTCGCCACGGGGCTTGCGGTCGCGCGCGTCGCGATCACGGGACCGCGAGCGCGACCGGCGTGTGCGCTTGGCGCGGCGGTCGTCGAGCTCTTCCTCGCCGTCGCGTGGCCGGGCCGAGCGATCTTGGTCGGCGGGCGGCAAGGGCGCCGCGGGCGTCGGCTTCTGAAGATACGACTTGGACCGGAGCGAGGTGAAGAGCCGATCGACGAACCCGACCGTCTCGTCACCAAGGAACTCGTCGAGCTTGGCCAAGCACGTCTCGCGAAGGCCATCCTTTTCCGGGTTGTTTTGGACGAGCGCGAGCACGTACTTGGAGAGCACCGCGGGGTCGGCGTCGCACCTAGTCGTAGCATGAGGTCATGGCCGCGTCCTCGCATGCCACGTACAGCGGCTCCAGGGTGCGCACGAGCCAGTCGCTCAGCATGTCCTTCGCCTCCGCTTCCATCGCCATGCTTTCAAGTCGATCTTTTCCAGAATTGAGAAACCCACGGTGGCCCCCTCACCATGTACGGGCCGATACCGCTTCGCGAGCATCCCATTGGCTAAAATGTAGCCAATTATGGGCCCAGGACGTACCATCCACCCACGAGAGCTCTGGACGCTTCGTTGTCGCTTTACAGCCAGCTTGTCGTCCCGAGGCCTGTGTAATAGCACGCAATTGAGCTTCCTGCAAGCCGACATGCGTCGAGGTTGTCGTCTCGGACCACTCGCGGAAGGTCGTCGTGGTCGGGGGCCTTGCCCCGTAGCGCGCGTGTGATTCGCTAAAAATCAGCCAATCAACAGAATGGAGCCGGTCGTCCAATCAACTCGATCCTCAAACTTTGAGTTCCCTTTCAGGTTCCGCGCAGCTGAGATTCAGGCGAGGTGTTTTACGTCGACGTTAAATAGTTTAACGTGCCACCCAATGCCTTACAGGCGCAGTTCAGGGAAGTTGGCTCCTTCACCGCGCCAACCCACTACGATGTGTACTATTTAATGCAAAGAATACTTCTATCACTTGGCGCCAAAGAAGGAAGCGATGGACTTCATGCCAGCAGTGTTGACAACCTTCTTCTTGGCTGCCTTTGCCGTTGCTGCCGGCGCAGGACGCTTGGTCGCCGACGGTGGCGCCGACTGGCGAACGTCGTATTTGGCAATCAAGTCGGCCGCGGCCTTGGGCTTGGCGTCCGCTTTCTTCTCTTTGTCCCATGAATCCAGCGGCAGCCTACATCACGATGCATATATATATGGTATGTTGAGCCGCAAGCAAAGTCCAACCCGTAGCTTTCAATGACCGGGTGCAGGTAGAATGCATCCACATATTCGCTCAGCGTGAGGAGCGCAAATTGAAGATGCACCGCAGCGTCGTCCTCGCTGCTCTTGTTGGTACGTGTCCCGTCGTTGGACAATGGGGCTGCGGACGGCGGCAGCGTAAAGTCCGACAGGAACGCAGCTTGCTCGGAGGGCTTGGCCGCAGCGGCTTTGTGCGCCGCAGCAATCCGGTCCACCTACGGGCCGTGTGTATGAGCTTCTTTTCATCGATACATGCGACTACCTTGCGGCGCAGGAAGGAGAGGATCTTGGTTGCGTTCGGGCGCACCGAGATCGTGACCATATCCTCGTCGTCGCTCGTGTCGCACACGAGCGAGATCGCCTCGCGCTGCCACCGGTCAACACCTCGCATGTCCACGCCCGACGCCTCGACGATATCTACGCACGACGTCCATGGAGCTGGCGTACCGTCAAAATACTAGTACCGTGGAGCGTGCAAAACTGATCCTTGCGCTTCCACTGCGCAAACGCTTCGAGGAGCACAAAGCGAGGATCCATGGGCGTCACGAGCAAGATGCGGCCATCTACATCGATAAGTTAGGGCACATGTGGCACAAGAGCCGACCTTGCAGCACGAGGTTGCCAGGCGCAAAGAGGCTGCGGTCGTCCGCGAGCTTTTGCACCTCAAAGAGCTGGCCTTGGCCCTTGGCGACCATGCGCGGGCTCTTGCCCTGGCGCCAGCGCATGAAAGTGAGCACGGGCAAAGCGTGGGCGTCGCGGACGAAGCGTGTGAGCTTGGCGTCGCGGACCGCCTTGTCGGCGTCCGACAGCAGCAGCACCCGACACTTGGCGGCCATCGGAAACGATCTGGGATGGTAATTGTGGCACTCACCACAATTTGTTGCAGAATGTGGCATGTGCCACAGTCAACAGCAAGATCAAAATCACTGATTGTGCATGCAGCCTGCCGGCAGCTTTCATTGCCACGACTTTGAGTGGGCCGATCTGGCAGCGACGTGGAAGCAGGCGCCGCCACTCGAAGGCGTCGACGCCGCTAGCCTCGGCGCGCTCGCTCAAGACCACTGGGATGTCTTCCACGCCAAGAACAACGGTACGTGGACGCCGAGCCGGCATGTTGCAGCATGTCCACCATTCCGTCTGTAGGCAAGGTATACAAGCCGCGCAACTACTTGGGCAAAGAGTTTCCGGAGCTTGTGACGGTTTGTCGTCTGGATCTTGTCAGCTGAAGGCTCATCATATAGAACAGACCGCGCCGATCCGCGTACTCGAGGTCGGCTGCGGCTATGGTAGCGCCATCTTCCCACTCCTCGCCCAGAGCCCTGCCATGCACGCCGACGTGTGTACGTGTGGCGGTATTGTATCGATTGCATCTCGCAAACACTGTAGGCGACTTTAGCCAGCACGCGATCGAGATCTTGCGCGCTCACGAAGCGTACGAAGCATCGCGCTGCAACGCCTTTGTGTGTGACATTGCCAACGACAAGATCGACGTGCCCGACGCGTCCATCGACGTTGCGCTCGTGGTTTTCGTGCTCTCGGCGATCCTTCCGGGGGCCATGGACGCGGTCGTCGCCAAGCTGCACAAGGCGCTCAAGCCCGGCGGCCTCGTGTGCTTTCGCGACTACGGCCTCTACGACCTCGCGATGCGCCGGTCGACCAAGCGCATTGGTAGTGACGAGGCCGATGCACTCTACTTTCGCGGCGACAGCACGCTTGCGTCCTTCTTTTCGGTCGAGGCCGTCGCTGATCTCTTTGGCCGTTATTTTGAGGTTGTCGAGAACGAGTACAACACAGTGCGCCTGCGCAACCGCAAGACGGGCACCAACATGGACCGCGTCTTTGTTCACGCCAAGCTGCGCAAGCCACTCGACACCTTGTAGCACGACTTTAGAACGCCAATGCGTCGGTAAATTGCAGCACAACGATAATACCAAGGAGAGTTTGTGGCCTATGGGTTGTTGCATTCATTTTGAAACATACGCTTTGTTCGAAGGCCGTCGAAGCGCAGGCGACGCAACGGAGTACGCTGGGCGAAGCACGACGCCGCAACAGCACTTTGGCAATGCAACTTGGTATCTTGACGATCGCCAAGCTGCAAACATCCCGTAACGTTATAACTCATTTCAACAACATCCCATTTAAAAAAGATTAGATCACCATTACCTGGCAGTTTCAGCTTGCTGCAAATGTACGGTAGTGGGCGGGTGTTGCATTTAATTACTAGTACGTGGGTTGTCGTTTGCCAAAAGTGTTAGATTCGTGGTCGCCAACAGTCGCGGATTTCGAGCCTCAGCCATGTCGCTCTTCCAGGCACGCGACTGGTGGACCGTCACGAGCGGGACGTCCGAGGAGTACACGCATGGTGCGCTCGCGATCGGCAACGTCGACAACGAAAGCGACCAAGCGCAGGCCAAGATCGTCGTCGGCAGTCTGCATGGCGTCCTGCGGATCTACTACCCAACGAGCATGGAGTTCAAGATCGAGCATCTTCTTCTTGAAGAGCAGCTCGAGCACCCGATTCTGCAAGTCGCGATCGGCGCCTTCCTTCCGTACACCACGTGTGTCTAATTCTGAGAGCTCAACGACCGTAGGCACACGACGGCGCAAGCGGTCGCCGTCCTGCACCCAAAGCTCCTCGCTGTGTACACGCTCGAAGGCGTCGGCGGCAGCGGCATGGCTGCGAGCTACTTTAAGCTCTCGAAAAAGTACGAGCACCACCTCGGGCAGGACGGCGAGCACTTTACGGCTTTCAACATGCTGCATGGACCGTTCGGTGGTGCGCGCGGTACGCAGCTGGTAGCTTTCTGCAACAAATCGTATCCTGCATGCTGTAGAGAAGGACCATTTGTGCGTTCAGGCGCTCGACGGCCGTCTCCAATTCTTCGAGCAGGTACGTCCTACGTCCACGACGCATGCATATACACAAGACGTGCGTAGGATCGGTTTGCGTTTTTACAGCAGCTTCCGACGTGCCTCGTGCCGGGCCCCGTGTGCTACGCGCCAAGCATCGACTCGATCTTGACGGCAACGTCGGATTTGCACGTCGAGTGCTACCGATATCAGATTCTCGCCACGTCCAAGAAGGCTGCCAAGGACGAGAAACCAGCGACCGGAAGCAAATCTCTCCACGCCGAGTGGCGCGTCAACGTCGGCGAGCCCGTTCTCGACCTGCAGATCGGCCGCGTAGCCCCATCGACGTCGGCCAAGAGCTTTGACATTGTCGTGCTCTGCGAGTTTACGCTCTTTTGCCTCCGGCCGACGGGCGACGTCTGCTTTCAGAAACGTCTCGGGTTCCACCCGTCGGCGCTGCGACTGTACCCGGCCAACGGTAGCGAAAGCCACATTCGCCTCGTCATATTCGTTTATTCGGGTAGACGACGACGCGCCTATGACCAACGTGCTTTTGGCGACGCACGCCAAGCAGTGGATGATCTACAAAGCCGCCAACCTCGTTTGGTCGGCCGTGGCCCCGACCGTCTCGACGGCGCTTGGCGTCGGGGAATTCGGGTACGCGATATACATGAGAATGATACGAATACCGTTATCTAGGGGCATCCCTGGCATGATTGTGAGCTTGGACGAGGACGGGCGATTGTGTGTGAGCTACCTTGGGACTGACCCGCCGACGACGTCGGTCGTCGCTGCCTCGGACACAAAAGAGATCAACTACGAAGAAATGGACGAAGAGCATCGAACACTGCTCAACATCATTCGGCGCTCCCAAGGCGGTATGTGTCTCCTTCTCTCTGCTCAAATGTGCATTTCGCCTTGTGTGCAGAGCGCCGGTCCGAACCAAAGGAGCGAATTCTCCTGCGCGCGCAAGTTCCCGCCATCTTTGATGCGCCCCACCAAGAAGACGAGTCGAGCTTCATCCAAGGCACATCTCCGTCGTTCTCGTCGTGTAGAACTAAGGCGGGTCGTTTCTTAGACGCCGACGTGGTGTACGGCATCGACCAGCAGCCTGTGACGCTCACCATGCGCGTGTACGTCACGTACACTGGCAGCAACGTGATCCAGAACGTGACGCTTGCCGTCACGGCGCCAACCAACGTCATCGTCGCGTCCGCATCCTCGGTCGTCTTGTCATCGGTCGACGGCAAAACATCGACGCCGCTGATCGTACCCGTGGTTTTGCGACCGAGCGGCACCGCGATGCCGTCGTCGCTCGAGGTATACACTTAGCTCTTCTACGACACTTAGCTCTTCTACGGCATGTCACACGGCGTTTTTGCAGGTGACAATCTCGGCGGCGTATACGCTCGAGAGCGGCCAGCCGCGGACGTCCATGTGCATCGTCAAGCTGCCCATGTGCATGATGTGTCGCGTCGTGCCGCCTGTCAAAGCGAGCACGTTCAAGGTACACCATATCAACAGTTCATAGGTGATGGAAGACGACGAATCGTTGGCTAGTTTACGCTGGATACAAACCAAGCGCCGTCCCTGCTCACGGACCTCTTCCAGGATATGCTCACGCAACCTGGCGCGACGCCCGAGTGGGCCAAGCAGGTCACTGGCTCGACGGCCAACGTGCTCAGCTTCCAGTACTACAACGGCGTCGACGTGACGATCCTCGTCTCCAAGAACGCAGGTTTGTGTTTCCTAGTTAGCGTGCCACGTTTACAGTACTACTATGTTTTAGGGCGGTACCGTATCCAGTCGACGGAGCTCGACGCGCTCTGGATGGTCTCGAACGAGCTCGTGGATCGCCTCAAATTGCTCTACGACGGCCATACCGACGATCTGCTCGAGATCCAGTACGCGGATCCGCTGCCATTGGCCGACTTTTTCGGTGCCATCGACGAGCACTTTCATGTAGCAGCGCTTCTTCATGCGTGGGTGTGACAAGGGATTGTAGCTGCGGAAAGCCGTGGCCGAGCTCAAGGCCGACATCAACGACCGCGCGCACGAGTTTCGCGTGATCCAAAAGCGCCTTCTCGTGCGGTACAAGGACCGCAACCCGGCGCCGCTGAGTGCGCTCGACGTTCTCATGCATGGGACGTACGCACAGTTGCTGGATCTGGCAACGCAGGTATATTTCCATGTTTCAAGGCTCTCGATGATGAACGATGGTAACGTTAGATGGAGCAAGCGCAGCACAAGCTTGCAGCGGCCTCGAACCGCCTCTCGTGCAGCGTGAGCTTGTTGCTCATGCTCATGCGCTACAAATTCGACCTGGACGACGCTAACTTTAACGTGCTCGCGGCGCACTTGTCGCCGATCGTGGCCGATGCCGACTTGGGTTGGGAAGACGTGACCGAGGCCGCGATCACAGAGCTGCTCAAGACGGCGCTGTCGGCAAAGGCGCCAGCGAAGGAGATGATGGCGCCCGAGATAGCGCTGCAGCAGGACACGAAGAAGCTCAAGAAACACATTACGATCTTGTGCGACCGGCTCGGAAAAGGAGCGCTCTTTGTCGGCGAGGCCCGGCCGCGGCGACCGCCACCGGACGACGACAACGGCAAGGACGACGACGGCGGCAAGGAGTAGCTGCTTTGCAGCATCCTCTGTCGCCGTACTAGAAGCTAAACGAAGATGGACAAGAAGAAGAATGACTAAAATGATGTGTGCTACCAGCCCAACCCGCCTCGTAGAGCCAATAACAGCGTGCATGGCATGTAGTTCTACTATGGAGAGCACGAAAGGCAGCTTCATGAGCCTTGCTGCGTCGGGCGTCCAGTGCATGGAAGAGATGCAAGCGACAGACACCTCGGTGCTTGTGTGGCAAATGTCGAAATGCGAAGAGACCCATCCTGATTGGCTGAAATTCCACAAATTACTCGTACGGGATTGGTTCCCGCGCATTTGACAAGCTTCGACCTCAGATGCCGATGGTTCCAGTTGCGATGGGAGAACACACGAGAAAAGCACTTGTGGTCGGGAAACCAAAAGAGGAAGTGAGCTGACCAGGCTCGGTGTATATTAGCAAAGCGGGGACAGCCGAGACTGGTGGCTGAGCGTGGCTGTGCGTGTCTAGATGCACAAGTCTGGGTCTGCAGCGATGAGCTTGCAGTAGCCTCGACGTTGTGCGACCAAGCCCTGAGAGAGTGGGCTGTGGTGAGAGCAGGGCTGGCTAACCGATTGACGAAATCGGTTAGATGATCCGGCTAGCTAAACGGTTCAGCTAACCGGTTAGCTGTGGGTGTGCGACTCGGCTCTCGCTGGTCTAGTGTGTGTGTGGGGAAAACGTCATCGCCAAGGGCTAATCCCTTGAGGCGACGCATGCAAAACCCCACACGCCGAGTGACAAACGGTGGGCAGTGATGAGCCATGATAGGCGGCGAAACCTACCAAGAAGCTCCCTTCTTGACTGTTCCTGGCCATCTCGAAGTTCTTGAAGGTACTGAAGGAGGCTGCTGCGCATCACATATCACATGCATATAGCCGCGGATGTGAATAGTAGTAGGTACAGTCGAGGCCTGCGAGGGCACGCGCGATTGGCTTCAACCTCGTCGACGCAGCCAAGTCGCGTTGCAACCGTCGAGCCGATCTCGTATGCAGTCGTCGCGGTCTGCAACAGAAACAATGACGCGAGCATGTTGGGTGGTCGAAGGCGCCGATGGCAGCCTTGGCGTGGACTGAGCCTGGCAGCAACGCCGACCTCTTGAGCGGAGGACGCTGATGCAATGGCATTCGACACTTCAGCCGATGCATGTGCCAATTCAATGTAAAATGAGTCGTCCTATCCATTTGACATGCAGATAACTACATTGCAGGACGCGCCTCGACTGCGCCACGGTCTATGGTCACCAGCATCGCCTCCTCGGGAATTTGAATTGCGCCCAAGTGCGCGAGGTACTTGTTCCGTCGCAAACGCAGCGTACATCGCGCATCGACAACGCGTTGTTTGCTGCCGGCATCCAGTTTTGTGCTACCGCTTTGCGGTGGTACGGACCACGCGCATCTCGAACGCTGAACGAGGACCACAAGACGGTGTGCAAATACTCGTTTGAGGTACCAAAGTGGACGTCAGGATAAGCGCGTACGCATTTAGAAGCGTAATGAGCTTGCCTAGCGAACGATGGTCCTTGCGCCTCGGTGCGGAGCTAGACCCAACACAATGGAAAGATGGCAGGGCTGCTAAAGTCGACTGTCGAAGCGCTGCCAGCGTACCGCGCGATGCACGGCGACTGCGACGTACCGTCGGACTTGGTGACACCGGCGTCGCAAGGTTCACAGCCCCTCGGCGAGGTTTTTGGAGTGTGCGGAAATCACGCTCGGTCCTCGACGATGATGACGTCTGCGTCCTGGACTGCCTCGGCCACAACTGGGCGTGTAAAGAAGTATAATGGCGCTGCACGACGCGCAACAGCCAAGGTGACGAAGCCAACACGTTTGTGCCCTGGGAGACGCAAGTCGAGGCGCTTGAAGTGTACCGCCGCTGCATCGGCAGATTCGAAGAGATGACGGACGTCCATGTCGTCCCAAGAAACGCCAAAATTTGGCCGCGGGCCGCGCGGGGCGTCTTGCTTGTGTCCATCATCCCGTGGCTGCGATCGCAGCTTTACGTGCTCGATGATGACATTTGCCGCCGCGTCCACATCTTGGAGCCGCACACAAACCTGCCGCACTGGTCCATCTTGATGTCATATTTGAACGCGTATCGCCGTATCCATAGCCACTGCCGCGTGCCCATTGACTATGTCGTTTCGCCTGGTACCGCGGGCCGAAGTGTTAGAGCTCCCACCCGCGGTGCCAGGCAAAACGATGAAGTCGATGGGCACGCCGTAGTGGCCGTGGATACGACGGTACGCGTTCAAATACGACAGCAAGACGAGCCAGTGCGGCAGGTTCGTATGCACGCGAACACACCAAGTGAGATGGAACGAGTGGCCCTGGGACGTCTCCAGTGGACACTGCTACTGCGCGATGAGGAAGCGTGCAAAACCTTGGACAAGACCGAGTGGTCGAGTGAAGGCAAAACTGAAAGTGATCATTGGAAAGAAATACGACAGAAGACGAACCTAGACTGACTATGCTGCATACGATGAACTTGACTAAGGGCATACTTCAGTCATAGATTCGAGCAGAGAGTAGAAAAGATATACCGGCTTGGGAGCGCAGCTTCCCAGCTTGTAGTACTCGACAGTGTTCTTGGCTATGGTGGCGTGTACCAATGCCTCCCCAGCACATGCTCGATATGTTGTTTGTACTCTTCGCTCGACTCCTCATACCACAATATTGCGCACCGCCGTTATGCGAGGTCGGTCGCCGTTGTTTGGCTTTAACATTAGTTGAATGGTTGGTGCATTTCAGGAGCCATTCTACCGCTCGCTCACGATCACAACTTTTACGTGCTCGACCTTGGGAGGCTGCATCGACTCAGAAACGCCCGAAGCAGCGCTACAAGTTGTAATACGAAGGAGCTGACAAAAAGGTCATTTCGACTCAGATGCAGCTTCAATCTCTCTCCAGCTATCCAAGTTTCTCGTATACATGGAGGCGAATACTTCCACGGTTAGCCAGAGCTCACCCAGTGAGCCCCGTGCCGAGGGCGACAGAGGGCGACTCGCATGTGACGAAAGGCGAGGCCTGACCGGTGTTGCTACACGGTGTTGCTACACGGTGTGAGCCTGGTACATATATTACCGATGCGTCCGCCAGTACTGGTGCGTCCCATGCATTCCGCACCGAATCCACCCTCGTTTCGTAACGCTCGAAGTGCGGACCGACGTGGCCAGCGAAATATCTGCGACTGTGCGGTCCGCGGTATTGCAACGGGGTGCACTTCCCACCCACCGCTCCAGCACACCGCTCCTATGAAGCATCGCGACCTTCCTAGAGCGTCGCGGAAGTCGGGTGGTTCTGAGCCCAGCCACCGGCGACCATTGCAGTGATATTGATTGATGATGGGAAGCTTCTGTGCACGCAACTTGTTTGGCTTCAAGTGCATTCCGACGCGTGCCACACTCGCTAGCCAATCAGCGCGCGCAGTACATGAATTTCAGCCAATGAGCGTGCGGACCATCACGCATTGCGGCACGTGTCGAAACGTCGTCTGATGTTCGCGGCGTTCGAAAAAGATTTACTGACCAATCCATGCGCGCTATCTCATCATTTGCACCAATCATGTGACACTGAGCTGAATCCGCGATGTTCATTGGTGCATATGGCACCAACGTGTCGGCAGCGTCGTCCGGTTCCTGTCGCATGCGGTTGGCGCTGAATGTTGATAGCCTCAACAATTTAAAACGCATAATTAAATGACATAAGTTTATTGTATGAAATAAAATCAAGAAGCGAAGTGTCTCACGGAATCTGAAAATATCACCATCATTCTGCCAACCTGCGGAAATCGAATAAGGCTGTAAGCAACACACACATGTGTAAAACGTGGGAAAACCGTGGTCTCTGCGCATGACCCTTTTCTCTACGCTTCGGGGACCTCCAGTGTCGTCGCTGCTGACGATACCAGCTAGATTTCTCTGCATGAAGGCTGTCTCTAGCATTCAAGTGCCGCGCCGAGGCCACGGTGTACGTCAATGATCAGATGCGGTGATGCCCTTGCAGCTGCGCTTCCTGGTCGAGCAGGCTCCGTCACCAAGCTACTTTCCTCTTTTGTCGGGCGTTCGTCGGCTTGTTGTTGACGGCATACTACTCTTGAAGGTATGCTTGAAGGTTGCAGTTGGCACGTTGCAGTGGCATCACACTAGTTTGCAGACCAGATACGTGGACCTTTCTACACGTACACCTCGAGTGCACATCCAGTCCAATACCGGTACCATGGACGTACGAGAGACAAATCTGCCGACGAGGTCTGTGCGAGTGAGCATGCAAACCTCTTTGCGCTGCTGCTGGACTACAACGTAAGGAGTGATTGCATGCAATCTTGGTCGATTGGCACGTCAACACACAGGCTCGTGACTCACATGTGTGAAAAGCGTGTTTTTCACCCAACCTCCCAAACTGGATTTGTTGATGGAAGGCAACCCAGAGCGCAATTGTATCGCAGCTTGCCGACGCAAGTGGCCAGAACCTGCCAGAACCGACTTTGCCCCATTGAGCTCAGATGCATCCGAGCATGGTCTTCTTGGACTACTTCAACCGCGCGCCGTGGCACACGCGCCACGAAGGCCCGGCGCGCGACGGTCTCGGCCTGCACCACGCGCTCCTACTCGGCGCCGCCCTCCTCGTCGCCTACGTCGGCCTTCGCATTGCGCAGTGGCTCTGGCGACCGCACACCTATGACTTTGACGACGAGCTGCCCAAATACTACAACGTTCAAGCATCGAGCGACGCGAGCTCGTGGTCCGAGTACCTCTGGCCGTTGCTGTGGGTCGACCGCGTCTACTGGACCCGCGACGTGCGCCGCGCCAAGTACCGCCGCCGCCACAAGACGAGCAGCATAGCACTCGATACGATCCCCGAGGAGACTGAGAAGACCACCTTCGACGAATACACGGTGCTGCGCATGCCCAGCGCGCTCAAGCTCTCCTAAACACCGCGCGATTGGAGCGCGGTCCGACCTATTTAAACCCAACCATGATAAGTTAAGCGAATCTACTTTTGCGCGAGCAGCATACTTCCCTTGCGCACCATTCACAAAACACGAGCACGTTGGTTGACCGACGCCTCGAAGGCGTGGACACGTTGGGTTGACGTTGTTGGCTAGCGTATGCGCTCTGCTACCAACAACAAAGGTACCAAACATGGTTACCGCATGGACGACGCTGCACCGCTCGGCCTGCCTACGCCAGCGTTGACTCGAGCCAGGATATTGGTACCCGTAGCTTGTACACCGCTGTCCGTCCTACGCACTCGGAGCCACGTATGGCGTTGTCAGGTTCGTCGAGTGTGACCAGGTATGCATGCCTCTTGATTAGAGCTCAATGCCGAGAGAGGTTCTCTGTGTATCGAGATCACACCAAAGCACCATGACGCGACGTTCTCAGTGCCATCATCGGCAGCTCTGGGATTG